GTTCGTAAAAAATAATATGAACATTTAATATATATATATATATATATATATATATACATATTTTTAAATACATTGAATTATTGAACAGTTACACAATTTGAACAATTAAATTTTTATGTATTTTCTAAATAACTAGTAAAACTACACAGTAGACATTATAAACAATTAGAGTATTATTAAGCAGTGTATTGTTAGTTAGTATGCTACACTCTAAGGAACGTACAAAATAGGGCACAGTGTACCGTGTTAATATAAAGGAATTTTCCGAATACATTTTTCACCAGTGTTTTACCTGTTTTTTAAATTACACATTGCATTTTATATATATATATATCAAAACAATAGCAAACGGTCTTTAACCAAGCTAACTTTAGCCAACAAGGCAGGCAACAGTTAGTACCTGATAGTTACCTAACGATAGTTAGTTGATTGATGTCAATGTATTTTATAAATATTGAAAATAAATGGATTTATTGTCTACTAATTACAAAAAAATATGTTTGGTGGGTTTTGGCCTGCTGTATGAAGACATCTTGAGCCCATGTGGGTCATGGGGGGTGTGGGGCTTTAAAATAAAGTGGTGGAGAGAAGCTGCACTTTCCTTCTCATGAATACTAATGCTGGGCCACCTGCTGCTGGTCAACACCAGGGCTTCAGCTAATCATACTCACCGTTAATCCAGTTTATAAGGTGCTACAGTTGTGGGTTTAGTCTGATGCAAGCACATGAATTCATAATTAGGCCCAGTAATCTCAGTAATGCAATCACACTGAGAAAATAGAAATATGATTGGCCGGCGTGTGCCACAGGATAAGGTATCTGTAAAGAACACTGCTGGGACAATATAACATTGATATTTGTTGAGAGTGGCGGCACAATATTGCAAAATTTTATCATTTTGGTGGCTGGCTGGCGGATGGATGTCTATTAGGGATGGGAAGATTCACCGATTCGCTCGGTGCATTGGCAAAAAACAATTAACGATGCGATACATCGGTTTAAAAGGTGTGCATCGGATACAAGTTGGCATTTGTAT